GTCATATATCTTTTGACGGCAAAATAGTCATACTTTGTGGTACAACAAGAATTATTTGAAATGAATCTGTGTGCATCAAAAAATACCATTAGTTGTATCGCTAACAATGTTGGAAAACAGTGCCAATTGAATTTAGCAAAAAAATCAAAAGCCAAAATTTTATCGCCGATGTCATATAGCAACATTTGCGATTGTTTGCCGTATACAAATAAAGAAAACCTTTAACTATTCCACTAATGGCTGCGAGATGTTATATCAGTGCTGATACGATTTTTCGTATACTCATTATATGATATATGAGCTCATATATTTCGCATGTACTCGATGTGGGCTGTTAGAAAAAGTGTTTTTCCTGCAAAAAATACCTTAGGAGTTTCGTCTGTTTCAAAAGTGCATGGACAAAGGCAAAAACCTGTTTTCTAATATCCCGCGTCGAGTACATACATATGGGGAAAATATGGTTTACAAAAAAGGTCCACTTTTCGGAAAAAAACGATATTTTTAAAAATTTCTGGAGAACGTGCTTAACATTTTGGAACTTTTTGTCCGTTAGGAATTTTGCACTGCTGCATATATAGATTGTAATCTGACGGTACCAGCTCATGAAAGTGTTTCACTAAAAAGTGATGAAAATGCACGAAAAAGTCTGTTCTGCTGGGAAATGGGATTCCTACAGATCTAGAAGACCACGATGCCGTTGGTTTAAAAGCTTTTAAACGTGATATTCGTCATCAGGAGCTCGAGTTGTACTAGTTCTATAACTCTAGCACTGTTGTGATAAAGTCGATGTAAACGTGATACGTTTTCGAAAGAACGACCCCAAACGTGAATGTCTATGCCAAAGTTAATTTTATAAATAAAAATTTGGGCTAGACAGTTTTTATTGATTTATATTTACATTAAAGATACACCGATGATTGCACTTTCATAAACAGAACAAATTTATGTTTTAGTTTATTTTGAATGAGACATCTCATACAATGATTTGTTTACATAAAATACGTTCATTTATATGTTTGTACGTGTATGTAGAAAATAAGTTCAATTAAAAGGATTACAGTTCTGATTAATGTAACACTTCACACATTCACTCTGTCGGATATTTAAATTTATCCACACTAGATAAGCGTAAAAATTAGCAAAATTTCTATTCCTCTATCTGAGAAGATAGACATTGTATGCTATAGATCTGGTATTATTTTCTATCGTTGAAAATCAGGCTTCTCACTACTGCTTTAGAGGCATTGTTCGCTTTTTATTCGAAAGTGAACCTTCAAGTAGTTTGTATCGTTTTTGCACTTGGGATTTTGATTCAACCCTGTAATTCAGACTATCTTTTCTCCTTAAATATGTATGTGACATTTGGGTACGATAATTTTGTTTGCCATATACTGCATAAGATCTACACAACAAATAATCGCGATAAGTAGAGATCAAATAAAAGTAGAAAAATTATCATCTGTTTGTATTCTAGCCTCTCCATCGATATATATATATACACATACACATTGAAAGTATGATTAGATCATAGCCTCCGATTATATTTTCTGATCATCAAAGTGAAGGAGAAAACGTAAACGAGTGAAATTTTAGTCAAAGCAGTAGCTCGATTGTACTAGATTAAGAGAATAATGTATAATTAATTCGATAGTACTATTTAGTGGAATTTCTTTAGATATTTGATCATTATTTATATGTATTCGACTAATTAAAATTCTTGATAAAGCAGCCTTTTGAGTTTTTAAAGTTCAGTTGATATATCCGTTCCATAAAAGTAAATCTCTCTTATAACGAAGGTCAATTTCTTTTGAATTTTATTTTTTGAAGTAAGACGTCTGTTGAAGATTAACGCGTTTTATATTTCAAGTGCTATTAATAGCAAGCAGTAGTCACTTTTCTGCTATACTTGAATTTAATGGCCTCTAAAACGTTATGCGCATCTCTTTCTTAAAGCGCATACTATGATCAGTTACAAAACTGTTCTTTCTCTTTCTTTTTTCACTTTCAAAACCTTTTGGCCTCTATACTTTATGGATAGTTGTTAAACCTTGGCATGTTTTTCTGTGATGAGAAGATAATCTAAACAACTGTTTCTGTCTGTTATCGTTCATAATTTAAAATGTTTATACGTCCTATGATCTAATCGTTTTTGCTCTCTCTGTTAGAGTAGAAGAGAAAGTATGTCATTTAAAAAATAATTACTATTAGTAGTTGTCTCATCTATCGACAATTGAAAATTAACGTATTTTACGACGAGAGAGATTAAATAAGTGATAAGAAGAGAGAGAAAAGAAGATATTGAAAGATGTAATACATAATTATTATAGACAACACCATTTTGTAGACGACATGTTATGGTGTTATTCACCATAATTAACTTTTCTGTGTTTCATGACAAAAATAAGTCAGAGTTGACATTTAGGTTATAAAAATGACAAAAAAAATCACTCGTCTTATATTCTACCACTACATCACAATAGAGATGTGAGTGATGAGTGGTTAAATATGAAAAAATGAATTAGTTGCTTCTCTGTTTTAATGGTTTACGGTAATTAGCCATGTCCTTGTGTTAGTAACTGTTTGCATATTGTCTACCGTTCGATGATTAGAGTTTTCATCATATTTTTACTGTTTTGTTTAGACAATAATAAATATAAATGAACCCTATTGAAGGAAGGCCCTGTGATTTAGACCATGTCACTGTTTGTAGAAAATGTAAACGATCATCATCAATAGTGGTAAACTACAGCAATATAAATCATGGCACACATTTCACTTTAAAAAAGAAAAAATACGTGTGTGTGTGTGTATATGTGAATAGGTTTCATTCACTCAACGCCTATTGTTCATCTTTCACCTTTTTTTTGTTTTTTCAAGTGGATCTCTGATGTATTTTTGATTGATGACTCTATTATATATTCACACACGCTTTTGGTTAATCGACTTTTAGTCTGAATATGATGGTTTTGTCTCGAAAGAAGTTCTGCACTTAATCTCATGTTCAAAATTATGTAACAACTAAGAAATTAACTTTTGACTGCAATGTGAATAGAGCGTTTTGAGTTTTTCAGCATATTGGAGAAAAGATCCGAGCGGATTATTTAGACGACAGAAATCATAATACACACAGCTGAAATCAAGCGGTATGCCATAGATGACAAGAGATTGTTAATGAAAATTTGAATTCCCTCATGGTTGTTATCGTTCAATCAATGTTACAATAAAAGCACAATTCTTTTGCTATTACTTTAATTTCAATTTGACAAACATTCAACAGAAGAGAAAAAAAGAACACAAAAAAAAATAGGTGGTGATTTTTAAATATCGATTTAAATTGTCTTTATTAAAAAACATTTAAACAACAACAAATAAAAAACGATAATACAGACAGGACTAAGCGTTGTAGGACATATTGAACAAACAAACTAATGCTAAAATCTGAGGATAACATGGGGTATAATAGATTTTATTTCATGTATAATCAGAAAAAAAGTATATTTAGAAAGAAGTTATTTGAATAAATACGACTTTGTGAAGATCTATCATAGAACAAATTATGATCCCTGACGAGTGGACCTTCAAGTTAGTTTTAGCCAGTTTTAATACAAAAAAAATGGATTATATTCAGTAGAACTGATGTTGTAGGGCGGAGAAACTGTGAGATCTCTGGAGAAGTGTTCTGATCCATTTATTTTATAATGTATCTGGACTCTACGAGAAGATGTAAGGAAACATTTGTTCGTTTTAAGTAGAAAAAATATATATTACTGTGTCAAAATGATAGATATATACAAAAATGTGCATAGTACAACAACAACAACGTTCAGAAGACCCTACTCTCTCTATCTAAATATGACATGGAATGATATGTTTCGCGGCTCACTAAAAACTCCCTGTGACGCGACATAAAGATTTCGAAGTATATAGTTCTAACATTTTTTATTTAATTCTAATCGTCTAAACCGAACCATTCTTTGTTCCATTCTTTCTCGCCATTCAATAACAACAGAAGTTCTATCTAAACTTAGTGATGTTTGCATTTGATCATAAAAACCCATTAATAAATATTCATGATCAATTTTTAGTCTAGGACAATTACATTGTATATCTTTTCGACTAATCCATACCCATTGTTCTGTTTCTTGTATACGATTTAAACGATCCTTATACACACGTAAAACAGTTAATAAATATGAGACCCATTGACCAGCATCATGACGATTAGTTACACGAGCATGAATTGCTATAAAAGAAAAGTGAATATAGAATAAGTAAAGAAATTACTTATTAAAATAGATACTTACTATAATCTCGTTTACAATATTTTTTAAAATGTAATCGTTTACTATAATATCGACAAGCACCACAATAATGACTTTGATCAATATTTGGAGAATTATAATCAGATCGACTAACACCATCATCATCTGGCCGAACGACAGTTGAAGATTGTGGTGGAGATTGTTGATTATAAGAATATGTTTTATCTTCATCATGATTATTCGATGTTGCATATGAATCATCCTGATAGATGTTGAAAATAGGAGACAATTCTAACGTACCTAGAAATGAATGAAAATTTTTCAAACTTCAATAGTTATTGTTAAAGAGTAAATTAATTATGAGTAAAAAAAATATATATCTCAGTGATGATAAATAACCAAATCTATTTTCTTCTCTGTTATGTAATAGCGTGTAATACATTGATAAATGAACACTTACACTATGAAAATGAGTAAATATCAATTATTTATAGTTTATCTCTTAAATAAATATGGCTAGATTTTGTCAACATATACTATACTTTCTGTTATCATCATTTAGATATGGCATAGAGAACAATTTCTTCATGGTCAACTCTTCACTAGAAGGTGTAAATTAATAAATCGTTTTTTTTTTTTTCTTCTTCTTCTTCGTCTTTACATACGTATGCATGGTGCAACTGGAGACTTTGTTTGTTGATAACCTTTCATGCATCGATCACATCGAAGACCCGTTACACCATCTTTGCAAATACATTGACCAGTTGTTTGATTACACGTTTTACCACGAGATCCAACTGGATGACAATTACATTCTAGATGAAACAAAAAAAAAAAAGAAAAATTAAATTTATAGGATATATAGAGTAGACAAGTAAGTTTTCAACGTGCAAACTACAAACATTCAAGTTTTATCTATGGTGATCATTGTTAGACTATTTTTTTTTCCTTGTATCCTATATGTATTATGCCAGAGGCATATACCAGCAAAACAATTAAGTATGTTACTTTATTTTCAATATATACACTTGAATCAAATAACAATATTTGCAAAGTTCTTATCATTTAATGTTTCTTTTCGTCATTTTTTTTTATTTTATTTATCTCTACATTGATTTCTTGCATCTTTATTGACATATATCTCATTAAATTAAAATTAGCACTTTTTAACATGATTTCTAATAGTTCTCAAAATAATTCAAGTTGCTAATATTTTTTAGAAGTCTATTTCGTCTAATTTTTATTTCTTCTCTCTCATTTTTCTCTAGAAAATAGAAAAAAATTCAAGATATATTTAATTTACTCTTATATTGTATAATTCATTGAAAATAGTAGCTTTGTTTATTTGTTCTTCTATAACATAGACAGATTCAATGTTTACACTCATAATTATATTTTTTAAAGAGAAAGATATGATAATTAAGAGCAAATAGAACATTACATCTACTTTGCTTTAAATGTAATTCTCAAGAGAAATAAACGAGAAAAAGAGAGACATATGATGACTATGATGTTGAGTATATCGTTCGCGTTTGCATATGAATATTTTCAGTCGAATTCTATCTTTTTCTCAAAAAACAAAATCTGATGAAATGAAAAATAATCATAGGATTGCCTTTTTAACCATTATGATAGAATAAAAGATTACAAAAAAGAAAAACAATCCTCGAATATTTTATACATAAATAGAATTGTCTATTATACCAAAATTTGTTTAAAGTTGTATTTGAATGTGCTACGAATTATGCCAAAATATTCAATACAATAATTAATTAATATTGATCAAATTGATTTTAATGTAATAGAAATAGGTATTCAAAGAGATTAATTTTTATAATGGATGATTCTAACTAAATTTCACTTTTTTAATTCTAAAGTTAATTGTAACAATTTATAAATACACTTCAGCTAACTAAATTGTAAATATTCATGAATGAAGTAAAGGACATAACGTCAAAAACAAAAGATTTAGAGGAAATTCAAACTAGAAGTTAGTTGAATACGGTAAATTGAAAGATAAACAAAGAAATTTCCTTCCTGTTGAAATAAAAGGTCTTTGTTTCTATTCATCAATATGTCATTTTAGGAGCAACTTGTTATCAATACATCAATCAATCGATTAATTGATTTTTCTTAACGTGTATATATTGAAGGGAAAAAAAAAAAGAAAGAAAAAGATGAAAACTTACCTTATAATGACTCTAAATAAAGACATGAACAATAAAAAAATACACAAAACATCTAGTACAACAATAGGTGTTAATATCATACAAGGTTAAAAAATTGATCATGCAATTATTGAAAGCAAGAGAGAAGGAGAAAAAAAAATCATTCATCCATTTTTATAAAAGAATAAAATAAGCTCATGCATAAAATCAGGATATAAGCAAAATATAGGCATGCGTTCTAAACTACAACGGCACTAACTCTTGTTTATGATGTGATATGCCTACCTTTACATACTTTCGGATGATTTATTGCCAATGAAATATCACGATAATAGCCCTCTTGGCAATAATGACATGAACGGCCTACAGTATTATGCTTACAATTAATACATATTCCACCTGATTTTCTCCCAGATAACAAATACAATTCCTTATTGAAACGACATTGTCTGGAATGAGAATTACAATTGCACGCTGCAAAAACACAAAATAAATACACAGAGATCACTAACTCTTCCACAGATTCAAATGGATGAACATTATTTTTTTCTCTTTACCTCATGGAAAAAACTTTAGTTTGTGATTTTGTGGTACATATAGAGAGAAGAGAAGTGAATAATAGGTGCAACATTGAAACAACAATATGTGATTAGTTAAATCGACTATTTTCTTCTTTATTTTTTGTTTTTTTACCTCTACAAACACTCGCACTTGTCATCAATTCATATTTATTTTTATAGTAGCCTTCTTGACAATACTGACAATTTCTACCGGCCGTATTATGCTGACATGCTAAACAGACACTGCCTGATTTGTGTCCACTCAATTTGTACAATTCAAGATTAAAACGGCATTTTTCCGAATGATTATTGCAATTACATACTAAAAATAATATAGATGAGTTCTAATGCACTTTTTTTGATTTTTTGAATAATTTTAATTTATCTAAATAGACTCGGGATGTTTTCTTATAATGAAAATGGATAAAAAAACCTGTAGAGTTGCAAATAGTATCTCTAAAAATTGTTATAATATTCTCATTTTCGATTCTATGTAACACAATTTACAACAGTAACATAACTTACCAACACATTCATTAGCATCACGTTGCGTTGCTCTTGCCCATGGTCGATCATAATAGAAATCTTTACATCGTTCACATTCGTCACCAGCCGTATTATGTTTACAATCGCAAACTAATCTACCATCACTAAAATAAACAAATTTAAAAATTATAATATTCTTTGTTCAAGAGAGAGAGACAGAAGAAGAAAGAGCAAAGGTATAGTTTATAAAAAAGAAAATCTCTTCAATCTTTTCCCTCTAGGGTTTGTAAGAAGTTATATGTTGTAACAGCACAACTTATGCAAACAGTTGTTCACACGGCTGTTAACTTATCATTTATTATTTGTTTTCATATTCTTATGTATAGACAAATCAATTTGTTGTTTCTTTTTCTTCTTCTTCTTCAATATGTATGTAACTGTTCGTTTGGAAACGCATACAATAATGAAAAAAATTGTGTAATCGTACCTTGTTCTCTGTCTGAGTATATTTTTTATTATTCAATTTCTTAAACAGGCATGCTTAAAGTTTTCTCGTAATTATCAAAAAAGTTCTATATTTAGGCGATGACAAATTTTTAAAGGTCGTTCAAATATAGATTGGTTTTGTTTTCAATAGTATTTGAATTTTGAAATAGAAGTTCAATCATATTCATATTAGTTCATTCTTAATGAGATCGTTTCAGGCATTAAAATAAAAAAACAAATTCAATGAATGTGGTCTGGCAATTGTAAGGTAATCAAAATGGCCGACGACAATTTTTTCTCTCGAGTTACTATTCTTTCGCACACTTTTAATCTTAATTTAAATAATACCACTTTTCTTTCTCATTATTGATTAACAAACTGTACAAAAAAAGAAAAATCTATTCATATTTAAATGTTACAGCTACACTTTCTCAGTAATTATTCTTCAAATTTCAAGTGTTAATAATGGAAAGACGGATGTATATATCATCATTTCATATCTGTCATCATTAACAAATGTTGAATTCTTATATTGTTCTAATTGTCATTGTAATTTTTTTATTAGTTTTCAACTTCCTTTTTTTTTTCTTTCTGTGGTGTACACCACTCGATGAGCCCAGCTATTCATGTTTTTTTTTTTAATATATGAAGATCATTTATGAAACACACGGCATCTTTAATAAAGAAAAAAAAAAAGAAAGACATTACCTATTCAAGAGAAAACGTTCGCACTCTTATAGAATATATTACAAGATAGTACTCGGATACAATTTAAGAAAGAAAGTGGCAACCAAACATTGTCGTCTCGACTCTATATTGACTGCTTGTTGAAACTGTCGAATCAAATTACATCATTTTGATATCAATATTCACCTGATGGGATTATAAATATTGAACAAAAAAAAAAAGGGGAAAAAAAAAGAAAAAATTAGTAATAAACATCTTTTGCCAGCACATTATAAAAGTTAAAAGTTTTCTAACGAAAAAAAGCCCAAAATTATTAAAATTTGACTAAACATCGATCACCCACAAGGAGATAATAACATAATAAAAAAGTGATTTTATCTGGAAATAATGACAAGGACATTGTCATTTGAATGGTTGTAATTATTTATTTTATTAATATAAACAAACAAAACAGACAGTATCATTTAAATACCATGTACAACAGTTTCAAATATCTAAATATATTCTCTCTCTCTCTCTCTCCTGATTAATATACACACGAGATAAATACTTTATTTGTTCACCTTTAAGAGGTTATTCATTGACTAGTAATATCTTAGCCAGTCCTAGACACGTTAATTTTCATGATGACGATGTCATTGTTCTTGCATCAACAAGTATCCAAATCTTTAAATGTGATCATGACACGTAAGATGAACAAGTTTCAATATGTACATGTGAGAAAAATTTTTTTCATATTGTTTTAAGGCAAAATTCTGATAAGTATATATATATATATGTATATATAAAGAAAAGAAAACAGAATTACACAACAAACAACAACAAGTGGGTGCAAGATATGACACTCACTACTTTCTTCTCTGTTCATCTTAAGAATGTTGAAAAAGAAAAGAAAAACAATCAAATTTAAGGCTTACTTTTATCTTCACGCACATGACCTTCTTCTTTTCAAAAATTCATAAAATTGAAAAGTTTGAGATTTCATCCTTATTAACTGTTTCGTTTTTCTCTACTAGCAAGATGGTAAAAGTTCATTATGAATGATAATAAATTATCATTTCATTACTCAATAAATCAAATGAACAAGTCAAATGAATATAAACATAGCTCAAGGGACTTGTTCATATGTGTCTGTGCAGTATGTCTGTTATCATATTTTTACTAAAAAGTTGTAAAATTTATCATTACAAAACATATCATCGATTTTTTTCACAACTATACACACACAGATCAGTACAGTAATGTAGTATGAGAATCTTAATCACGTTTTGAGAGACATGGAAGTGAGAGACCATAATCCGACTATAACGCTTTGTGTTTATATAACAAAAATATATTTTTTTTGGAGGTTTTATCACAAAGAGATGAATTTCATGGTCGATTAAAAGAAAACGTTCGAGAGTGTAGTGAAAATTTGATATGTGTTTAAAAAAAATCTTGTTCTTATCGACACACACACACACACACACACACACACT